GACCGATAGTACCCTTCGACGTCCCTCGAGCACAAATATATAATATCTGAGCCTTGCCCCGACCCGAGTGCTTGCGATTTTCTTTCTTTGGATTTTTTGTGGGATTTTATTGGAACTTTTGGTAAAACACTCGTGGTCTTTTTCCATGATCTTCCAGTGTTTTCAGTGACTTTCCTTGAGTTACCATTTGCTATTTTTGCTTCGAGATTTATGTCGTAAGTCATTTGCTGATTTTCTTGAGTTTTCTTTCGTCATGGGTCATTTTACGCTCCTTCTTGAGTTTTCCCAGATGATATTTCTTTTATTGATACAATGCATGCTAGCTCATTTTTTAAATTCTGTCATTATACTTGTACCTGCTACTGTTTCTTTACACACTAATACCTTAGAGTAGGAGGTCAGTAGTTGGTTTCATAAGAGTTACCCGGCAACAGATCATTGACTAAACAATTGCATGTACCTTTTAAAAATTAACATTGAATCCGAAGGTGCTACGACGGGGAGCTTGAAGCGAACACCGTGAGCAGCATGACGAGTACACACAGAAGAGCAACTTCGAGATAGCTCTGCAACATCAAAATAAGTTCACGTCAACTAAGCATTTTCCTTAGTTTAAGTAACAAGTCATAGAACTTTGAGGTAGTTTGTTTAGAGCAACATAAATCTTCAACTTATTTTTGGGACTTTTTATACAACCATGCTGTGCAATTATAAGTCCTAACACTTTTAGGATTCCGAGGTTATCGTACGGTACGGTGTAAATCTTCTTATCTTTCTAGGTTATTTGTACGATCAGATATCATGCGAAAGTAAGTCTTAAATTCTAAAAATAAATTACATGATTAAACATCATCATTTCAAAGACATAAAGTCAAACAATAGGATAGTTGAGAAATCACCAGGGTTTCCCCAGGATCTGTGACATCTCCTACTTTTCATTCCTTTGGATTTCTTAAAATAATTGTTCATGTTTGAGCCGCTCCCATTTGATTTTCCCGCTTACAATCATGGAAACCTAAACTTTGAAATATGGAAGGTAAAACCACTGATCTTAAGCGAGAGTCTTCTTAAGTGACCCCGGTCGTTTAAGATGTAATTAACTATAGGGGTTTGCCTCTATAGGGAACTTGAAACTCAGGTAAAATAAACTTTATATAATCCTTATATTAGATAAGGGAACTTGCTAGCCATACAAACGTCAAAAACTTCTTAGTTTAGGTGGTTGAGTCTACTGTTAAGTGGTATGCTTATCATTCGGGATAGTGTAATACTTACTTGTGGTATCGCCTCAACCGTCCAAATTATTTAATATGTGAGACTCGTTTGGTCTCATCTATTTTTAAATTAAAATGTTACTTTCAAAAATCATATTTACATTAAAACTATTTTCATATTTTACAAAAATCATTCCTTTTCAAAAAATATTGGCCGACAATTTTAACAAAAGTTAATTCTCATGAAGTTTTTGATTTAATGTTAAATATCTAGATGTTATATATGTAAATATCAAAGTATAGTTGTTAGATATGTAAATTGATAAGAATTATGTGGTATCTATATAAATCATGAGGACGTGTGGGGAACATCGACTATCTATCTTGAATGTGTGATGAAAAACTCTTTGGGTGCAATGCTATTTATTCTTACATGATTTTATTCTCTACTTTTTTGGAAGTTGAGTTTTAATATCAATTAAGTTAGAAATTAGTAGTTAAAGAGTGCCTCGATCCTGGGCATCCTAGTTGAAGAAAAAACTCTCTATCAACTCCTCCATAAGTCTCTTACATTCCTCTAACATCATGATTTCTTTATATTAGAGGTGGCCATGTATTGACTTTTGAATGAGTAAATCAAACAATGATAGCTATTGTCGTGTTAGAGGTAAAAGGAGAGAATCTCTAGGATATCAAAAAGAATTATGGACGGATCATAAAAAAAGATGATCCTCGATGAATGGGATAAAGTTGCTCTTCTTGGTGACTTAGGGGAAGATTGGTTGGCTTGAGGAGAATGGCACAGGGCATCAATGTTCGAGTTTGCTTGGTTTTCTAATATGTTCAATTATAGAAACTCGAGAAGGTTAGATGTCTAGGAAAGTTAGACAATCCTAGCAAGGCGAACATTGGCTATGAACCAAATCGGATTTGTCGACGCTTGTCTTGAAAGAATGTGAAAAATGAGACCGCACAAAGGTGTAACACAAAAAAATGTGTTGTATTAGTGAGAGCACTAGTTAAGACCATCATATGCACTCGAATATATACATACATACATACATATATATATATATATATACATTTTATGTATGTACATGTATAACAACCAAAGTTTGATATTTATACTTATAACACATTGGTCTCATAAAACTATGTATGAAAAGTTGTATTTCACTTTTAAGAAAATAGTGATGATAATATTTTTAATGTAATGCTAAAGATTTGAGTGACATGCATGCAAATATGAATATTTAGTTATTAGACATGTGAATAGATAATAATTGTGTGTTCTATATAAATGCCACTATATAAATGAAATATCAAAACCATTTAATGTCTTTAAATTTTTTATAATAATGGCTTGTAGGATTTAAGGCTTTTTTAAGATCATTTAATAACAAACCAAACACATTAAAATCTTCACAACGATGGAAGAAATGGAAAATAATAAATTCATATATTCTATCTCAAATAATTAGTTTTAAGACTAATGATGATTGTTATTTCAAATTATAGAAACTTTTGAATGCTTAGAATCAAATTCATATTTGATTAATGATGCATAAAGAGATCGATAAAATACATAGGTAAAACTAGACTTTTTAAAGGACTATTATGTGTCATTCAATCAACTCTAAATGGTTAAATTAATATAAGAATTGATGAAACTTTTCACAAAATTATTTTGCTATAACAAATCACTATCACTAACACGCATGCACTAACAAAAGCCAATATATCTAACCTCAACCAATTTGACATCTCCACTTGTTTGAAATTGAGATAATCATTTCATTCAATCGTTTCTATTCACTGAAAATTTTGAAGCAGTTGTGTATTTTCGCGTGCGTGTGTGTGCGTGCGTCTATATAAGGTCTTAAAGTAATTATAAATCATTGGCATGTAGATTTAAGATTGAGTTATACATGTGAAAAACTAACTACTTTATTATTTTTATTCTCTAGTATTCATGATAGAGCCCAACTGCACCAAGCTTGTAATGAAATTTGCATTACATAATAAAAAAATAATAATAATAACAAAAAAGGGAGAATATGATGATGAAGCAACGCGTACCTCTGTAATAGATGATAACAATATCTCATCTTGTCTGGAAAGCTGCTTCCTTTTTGATACTTTTGTCTGAGATTGCATCATCATCAGCTGCTCATGCATCTGCTTCAGTAAGTTTAACTGCTCATTGTTTCTGTTGGTTTGTTCCTCCTTCATAACCCGCTGATCATTCTCAAGCTTCCACACCAGTTCTTTAAGTTCCTCAACATCACTATGACGCACTGTAATCTCACAATTTTGAAGAGAATCCATAGAAACTCCTTTCCCCATGGACGGATATTTCTTCGTCGCCCGCTTTGCTTCTATCATGGCTTCGCCTGAACCAGATTTACAGGGTTCATCGGTCACGCCACCATCATTGTTTCTATTCGGAATTTCGTAAATGTCGAGTATGTTCTTAAAGTGAGTAGTTGTCCTGGTCGAATCTTGCTCTGATCTATGCCTCTGAGCTGACAAACATGAACAAAAACTGCATTTTGAATCTAAATAACCACAGTTTATCGAATTGCCGCCGATCGAAAGAGAGCTGGTTCTCGTGTTTGGTTGGGATTCATCGTCGCCAGCGATGGGCAGCGAGAAAACTCTGCTGTCATCATTCAATTTCAGAGACAAATCTCCTTTTAGTTCTCTCAGCTGTTTGGAGTTCTCGCCAGTCTCACTCCATGTGAAAGGTATTGTAGGAATTAAAGGTTCATTCTTTTCAATAAAATCCATATCTAAATTTAAATTATGAAACCAAGAAGAAGGCATAGAAATATTCCTTCTAAACCTTTCATTAAATCCTGAAAACTTAGAGAAGGCATTACTTTGACTCAATTTTGGTGTCTCAAGCATCTTTGTCTGTTCAACAACAGTATCACTTATGCCAAGTCTTAACAAACTTTGCCTATAAGACTGTACTTGAAACTTGAGATTTGCAATCTCAACCTCCTTTTCCAGCATAGCTTCTTTGAGAATCGTCAAAGATTCTTCGGCGTGAAGCATCTTCGCCTCCATCATTCTCTTGTATTGATTAGATTCCATCTTCTCCAAAGCCTTCTGTTGTTGAAGACGAAAAATTGTCGAAAGAGCCTCATCAGTCCCTGATGCTGCAGCTCTTCTTTCCTCCTCAAGTTCAGCAGAAAGTTCTTGTATTGATTGAGCTTGCTTGTAAAGGGCTTCTTTTAAAGCAATAATCTCAGCTTCAAACATGATTTAGAACAAACTTCATTGAATGGGGAGCCGTGCTGAAAGATGAAAACATGTTAGAAACTATAGAGGCCATTTGATATCACTTTTATTTTTGGCCGAATTATAAAAGAAGCTCGTTAATTACCGTTATTAGCATAAGCACACAATTGTTTTTTTTTAAAGGAGCATGTGTTATTATATTAGTTTAATTTTATTATTTATGTATTTTTTTCACATTTAATATACTGTTATGCTGCATTTTTTTACATTTTTGTACGAAAATTGAAATGTTGTCTGCTTTTTTTAAATATTTTTAAATTTACATCATTAATTTTTAGTAATATGTTGTTATAATGCTTGCTACTGTTTTAAATTATGTACGATATGGTGAAATTTGACTAAACTCTTTTCAATAAATTTTTATCCCACGTTTTCATTATACCCGTAAATATCTTAATTTTTTAAATTATTTCTGTTGTGACGAAATGTTGTCCGTATTATATTTGAATTATTAACGACGCGTCGAAATGCTGCCCGAAACGATTATAAATTATTTTTTTTGTGTCAAATCGCTGCTCGTGCCATCAGATCTTGTCTTACAGATTATTTTTAGTAAGGTACGAACAATTTAGTTTTATATGAAATTAATTTAAAACTTAATATTATTTATTTATGTTTATTTTTATCTTGCAATATTTATTATTAAGAGAACACAATAGAATTATCCTTAAACAAATATTATATGTATATGAAATATAGTGCTTATGAAGCTATTAAAAACTTTGTCAAAAAATATATAAACTACCTAAGGAGAACTTGAGACGTAAGTTGTCTTTGTACCCCCCTCCTCTCCTGGAAGTTTTCATAGCTATGAATGCATTTTTTTCATTGCATATACCATAACAAGTAACACTTTATATTTTACAGTCCTTATAAATTGTTGTTATGATTGAAGTAAATTTAACTAGATTTAAGTAAGTGTCAATTAAAATCTTAATATTGTATGAGTCTATATACAACTTGGAAACCCGACGATGCAGCGCTACTGGTTCGAAGGAGGTTGAAATAATATCTCAACTGTCTGGACTAATAATGGTTTATATAGACCTTATATAATTTTTAACATTTTAAATTTAATAATTTTCTAAACTCTTTAAATTGTTTCGACTGCGTTGAAATATTTTATTGTTGCAATTAATATTTTTATGAATTATTAATTACATGCTAGAACAGTTAGCACTTTATAATGCCAATAGTAGAACAATTAGCACGTTTGCATTGAAACGTAAATGAAATATGAAATAAGTAAAAAATAATTACATTTTATTATGCGAAAAGAAGGCACAAAAAGTGTTTAGGTTATGACTATATGTGTATGGAATGTAGTGCTTTTGAAGTTACAAAGAACTTTGTCAAAAAGTCCTAAACTGCATAAGGAAAGCTTAGAATGTATGTGATCTTTGTATTCCCCTCCTCACCTGAAAGTTCTTATAACTACGAATTCATTATTTTTCATTGCATATACCAGGATAATTAACATTTTATGATGTCTTTTAATTTTTATTGTTATAGTTGAAGTTTTAATTATGCTCAGGTAAATTTTAGCTCTTACGTTTAGATAAAATCAATTGCATGATCAGAACTATTTTTTAAGTATGAGTACGAATATGTCACGCTTGTTGATATGTTTTGATGGCAAGCTGCGACTCGCAAAAGACTTCACTTCAATCTATGTTGGTGGACGTAATCGTCTCGTTCAAGTCTCACAGTCCATAACACTTGATTAATTAAAAAGAAAAATAATTTGTTTACTACAAAAGTATAATTCAACGCATACCGTTAATATAGTATGTCGTTTGTCAGTTAGTGAGGGTTTCATTGCAACTTCAATCGATGATGATGAAGGTTGCAAGTTTAAGTTGTTAGAAGCCACAAAACACATAATAGTTATTTTTATCGAGGCTAAGCCCTTGCTTGTTGACGCTTATGATGTTGATGCTCCTTCAAATGTTGTCGGTCCTTCGAATGTTGTTGGTCCTTCACACACTTCTGAATATATCCCTAAAATTTATAGGTAAAAAAAATTCTATATACTGAATTGATATAACAATTAGAGGAATCTACTATGAACTTCCTAAACTTTATGACTTCAACTTTGTAGGCCAACTCCAATTCCCTTCAACACATATGACACTGGATTATATAATATATATAACCAACTAGTGGACAATTATAGTGCACGTCGATCATTTGACTTATCACATTCATTCCACCCTTACATCAGCAGACATGTTGAGTCAGTCACACAACAAGAGTTGCATAGTATGCACTTGGATGCAAACATAGACAAATATGAAATGATGGATAGTGACACCAGTGACAATTCGAGAGAGCCAGAGGCAAACGAGGACTATAGTGTACGAGATGGTGAGCCAAATGTCATTTTACTAGGACACGATTTATTGAACCAATAAACAATGCTAAATACAGAGATGTTAGAGTCAATGGTAGAGAACAATTGATTTATCGCGCCAATTTGAACTATCAAAGAATGGGATGCAGTTGAAGATTGTTATGCTCCCATAATTTCAGTGCCCTTGCATGGAGATGATGTCATTCCGGATGTATTATATGAGGGAATGATATTTTCAAGTAAGGATGCACTATAATGTGCCCTGAATGGATGGTTGATAATTAATAATATAAATTACATCAAAACAACTTCAAATAAAAAATAACTTACAGCTCAGTGTATAAATTTCAATCATGAAACTCGTTCGTGTCAGTGGCATCTACATGCTACACAAAGTCAGCAATTAGGAGGTGCATTGAAAATATCAGTACTTAGGTCAGACCATACATGTGGTCGTCCAATAATGTCAACTGAACACCAAAACTTTACTTTGAAGTACACATGCCACTATATCAGTTCAGTTTTAAGGCAAAAACTTAACCTAAAGCCCAAGGAAATTGTTGCTCATATGGAGGCCAAATTTAATGTCCATGTTAGTTACATCAAAGCATGAGGTGGACGTAGAAAAGCAATAAAATCAATATTTGTCAGTTTTGAGGAGTCATATTATCACTAATTAGACCAATGGAAGCAATAAGCAGTCCAATGTCAAGAGTTGCATAGTATGCACTTGGATGCAAACATAAACAGATATGAAATGATGGATAGTGACACCAGTGACAATTTGAGAGAGCCAGGGGCAAACGAGGACTTTAGTGTACAAGATGGTGAGCCAAATGTCGTTTTACTAGGACACGATTTATTGAACCAATAAACAATGCTAAATACGGAGATGTTAGAGTCAATGGTAGAGAACAATTGATTTATCGCGCCAATTTGAACTATCAAAGAATGGGATGCAGTTGAAGATTGTTATGCTCCCATAATTTCAGTGCCCTTGCATGGAGATGATGTCATTCCGGATGTATTATATGAGGGAATGATATTTTCAAGTAAGGATGCACTATAATGTGCCCTGAATGGATGGTTGATAATTAATAATATAAATTACATCAAAACAACTTCAAATAAAAAATAACTTACAGCTCAGTGTATAAATTTCAATCATGAAACTCGTTCGTGTCAGTGGCATCTACATGCTACACAAAGTCAGCAATTAGGAGGTGCATTGAAAATATCAGTACTTAGGTCAGACCATACATGTGGTCGTCCAATAATGTCAACTGAACACCAAAACTTTACTTTGAAGTACACATGCCACTATATCAGTTCAGTTTTAAGGCAAAAACTTAACCTAAAGCCCAAGGAAATTGTTGCTCATATGGAGGCCAAATTTAATGTCCATGTTAGTTACATCAAAGCATGAGGTGACGTAGAAAAGCAATAAAATCAATATTTGCCAGTTTTGAGGAGTCATATTATCATTAATTCGACCAATGGAAGCAATAAGCAGTCCAATGTCATACACTATGTATAAAATTGAAGTTAAAAGTAATACATGTTTCTATAGGCCCCAATATATACAGGTGGAGATTTTTCCCACCAGTGCTTAGTATGAACGAGATGTTTCTTTTAGGAAAGTATAGAGGTAATCTACTGGCTGCAGTAGGAATTGACAGAAACGGTGGACTTTTTCCACTTGCATTTGTTGTAGTTGAGTGTAAGAATACTATGTCGTGGGTATAGTTTCTACAAGAACTATATGTTTTGTTGGAAGTCGTCTAGACCCATCGAGATCTATGTATTATATCAGAAAGGCACCCAAGTTTGGTTCGTGGCTGCAGAGAGATTTTCCCATGAGCTGCACATTGATACTGCTTGTGTCATCTACAAGAAAACTTTAAGAATGCATTAAGACGACTTACAATAGGGGATGTCGACAGTGTCTGTGACAAAATGTATTGGGCGGGCAATACGGATGAACTCGGAACCTTTAATAGGCACATCAATGATATTAAACAAATTAAGGAGGAGGCATATGTTTGGTTGATTGAGAAAGATATCATGAAATGAAATTTAACACATGATGGTGGAGCTCGATTTTGCACAATGACAACAAACACATCTGAATGTTTTAACGGGGTTCTAAGATGTGCACGAGGTCTTCCAATTCAGGGCCTCATATATGCTATATATTATAATTTGGTCGTCTTATTCTTAAAACGATCCAACAATGTGCCGCAATGGACCAAGACTGGTTGTTCTAACTTTGTCCCGCACACAAGATCTACTCTACAAAGAATTGAGCACGAGTCCCATAAATTTCCCTAGCCGAATAGCATAAACAATCTTGAATATCCGATATTTGATATGACTTGTAGGGTATTTCGTGCTGCTATTCTTTCAACAGAGAATTGTTTATGCACGTGCAATAAACCACAATCCTATCACTTATCATGTGTGTGTGTGATTGTGGCATTGGGGGCCAAATGTTCGGATCACACAACTTTTGTTTCAAAATACTTCACGTTGGATTTCTATCAACACACATAAGAAGCATTATTTCATGTGATACCTGAGGAGTCGTGGCCACCATACAATCCACAAGAAGGTATTATCACTTTACTCCCCGCCTATTTAGAAGAAGATGTGGTCGTCCAAAGACAAGTGTGATAAGGAACACAATGGACGAGACGAACCACAAGCACAAGAATGTGTACCTTTTTGTAAAAACACGGGGCATAATCGAGCAACATGTCCCGATAATCCAAGAACTAGCAGGTTCGAATAAAATACTGTAGTTAGTATACATTTTAACTCTCCATTGCTTCTACGAACTTACTTTTTCAATGAAATAATTGTCTTTTTGTTTACTAACACAACAATCACTTTAGTATGGATGACAGAGGGAGCAGGTTTGGCAGGCCACCCCAACCGTGCTAGACGATTCACTTCGCAGTGAACATTTTCACCTCCTAGTATTGCATCGTTGGGTGAAGCACATCGTGCAACAGCAGTCACTTTAGATAGTGTAAGAACGTAAAGAATTTTTCGTGTTAGTTAATTTCGCATGAAATATTTATCTAAATTAAATTAATTTAAACTTTATAGCAAAAGATTCTAAAATGTGTCATTCATGCCTTAGTATTAAGAGAATGGTTAATCAAGTGCCTACAATTCTTGTATACAATCAAAATCGAGTGTCCATCATTTGACATGTAGTGGACAACCAATAGTGGTGGAGACTTCGATTTAAATTTTCAAAGCATTCTTGTGTTTGCGCCTATTTCTGATGTAGGCATGGATTTCGGTACACCACAATTATATTTCCTGCCAAATCCTAATGTATTGGATGCCACAAGATGGAATTAATGACACAACTGAGTGCGACGATGTTGAAGAATAACTTTAAGAACATCAATTGCTTCACCAACTACTGCGACCACCGTCTCGATATACACCTGGCTCAGACGTTATAGATGTAGAGGAAGATTGTATTTTTTTTAAAATATTATGGCAGTTGATTTGATTTGTTCACTTTATTCAATTAATTTAATTTATTTTATTTTGTAAATATTTCAATTTAAAATAAATTTTACAACTTTCAAATTTTGTAGTTTATTTAGTTTATTTAATTTTTTTTTATTTAATTAAAAATTACTTACAATTTATTAATTAATGTAGAAATTAGTTTTAAAGTTGTTTTATGTATAAAAATAAATAATAATAATAATATTTATAATGTTATTTAATATACAATATATATTAATAATTATATTATAAATAATACAATTTTAAAAAAATAGACGTGCGCCCCATAGGGACGCATATCCTTTTGACTTGTGTTCCCCTAAGGGGCGCAATTGCTTCTTTTTAAAAAAAAGAATTTCGGTGCTCCAGTTACAAATTTGATTTATTAAGGTGTGCCTTTTTCATAATTTGGCCTTTGTTTTTTAATTTTAATTTTATTTTATTTGCATTTTAATTTGAATTCAAACATATTTGATTGAGATTGTTATTTTAAAATCAAAAAAAGTAAAAGTATATAAAGATTATACCAATAGCCACCTTTTAAAGACAAAAGAAAAAAATGAAAATAAAAATAAGAAACAAAAATGATGTCAAATGAAACATCATCAATCCTTTTCTCAATATTTTAAACTTTTTATCTATGTTATATTTAATCATACCGACATTTTGATACGCATGATTGGATGCCATGAAGGGATAGTTGAGTTAACAATGATTTAAGTATTTAACGTAAAGGCAAGTGAGAATGTCAGACGATAGTGTTATTTGTAAGATGTATTGGGATAAAAATGCAAAGTAGTTGACCCTCATTCTTTAAGTTTAAGAGTTTAAAATGGATTCAACATCAGGCGAACTCTAGAACCTAGTTGACCCAATACACCTAACAAGTGGCATTAGAGTTGAAAATTCAATTAAAGTTGAGTGTTTCATGTAGTTTATGGTTCTCATGTATCTGTGATTTTATTACCATGGTTGACCAGGGCTCGAGAGCAAGTAACTTCTGCATTAACTCCATGTGGTCGATGCGATTCTTGTTTTAAGGCTTACGATGAGCCCATGGCTGACTAGAATAGCCTAGAGATTAGAATGAGCGAACTAGAGTATCTATTCCTCAATTAAACGTGCTAACAACTTACAATAAACCTAGATCTTGAAAGAAAAATTCTTCCAAATTGATCATCTACATAGTACATGCTTGAGATCATTAATGCAAAAAAACCAAAAAAGACCAACATATATGGAACCCATTGAGCATCCAAGATGACCATACTATCGCTCAGTAGGGCAAAAAAAAAAACAAAAAATTAAGGAAAGTTTACATGCATACCACACAATCCTTATGCATATACATACCTAACACTCAAAGTTTAATATTTACTTTTATAACACTTGGGCATTACAACATTTTGGTGTTATAAACCTTTGAATGAAAAGATGTATTTCATTTTTAAAAAGTTAGTAATAGTGGTATTTTTTTTTTATGTATTTCATTTTTAAAAAGTTAGTAATAGTGGTTTTTTTTTTTTTGTGAAGTTAAAGAGTAGTATGCATGTAAATATGAAAGTTTAGGTGTTGGGTTTATAAATGTATAAAAAATTTATGGTTTGTATGTAAATGCCTCTAAAATAATCAGAGCTATAAAAATTAAACTATTAAGAGGAGAACGAAAAATGAACAGTTAAAAAGTAACTGCAATAATTGTAATCAAGTAGAAAGCTGTTATTTATGGACAAGAATAGATGATTATTATTGATTCATAAGTGTGTGCTTGTGTGTGTGTGCGTGTGTGTAGGTGCTAAGAGATATGCTACAATTCAAACCAATTAGAAGGTGCTAATACACTGCCAGAAAAGCAAGTATTCCCTCAACTTCAATTTGGGCTAACCCAACTTCATCGGTCAGCTATTTTAGTCCAATCACACCCTTGGGATACATAAATGCTGCGAACATTTCTAAATCATTATAGAAGTGAACAATAAGGATATTAGTAATTTAGTTGGACACACCAGACAAACCAACTAGGTTGCATGAGTTGGCCATATCACAAGCATATACAAAAACAATATTCTCAAGGTTGACTACATTACCAAAGTATCAACAAAAACCTTTCTTTGATATTTGACAAATGATCAATTGTAGGTTCAATTGAATCTTAAAGAAGGGAGCCATGTTCGACGATTGATGAGGCTCCAACGACCAAAAAAAAAATAAATAAATAAACTAGCCAATGTGCAAGCTAAAACTTTAGCTAAAGCTTTTAGAACCTATTGGAAGAAACTTCTTAAAACTTGCAAGAAAACTCTAAAATCCTTCCAAAACCTAATAGAGTGACCTTTCAAAAATTTCTTGAGCATTCCACGATTACCTTTTTAAAATAAAGTATTTTGAGATGTAGTGACCAATAGTTCATAGCTAATAATGTATAAAATAATTGTTGTTGGGAATGATAAAACCTAATACAAACACAAAGAGGGACAAAGAACATACATGAAAAAAGAAAATAAAAACATAAAATTACACAATAATGTGATATGTGTTCTCTCAATTGATGGTCACATCTAGTTGCCATCTACCCACCATAGCAAAGTTCGTCATAATTTGCTTATGGAGCATTACAATCAAATTTCCCATCTTATAATATAAATATGGTGTCTCATATCTATAAAAAAAATAACATGCATAGAGACAATAAAATTCTCAAAACATTCTCAATAAATGACCAAGAAAAACAAAGCATCATTGAAGAAGGTCCTCGAATTATAGTAATCATTCACAATTGGTACCATAGAACTCCTCTTCCTCGTAAATAAACATGTGCCAAAATAATCTCCTGACTATTTACATGGGCTTATTTTAGTCTTATGGTCCATAAAAGTGCCAAATTTGTCCCCATATTTTAATATTGGTTGAAATAGCCCTCTTGGAGGACGATTTTAGTCCTCTCTAAAGAGTCTTTTATATCCTTTAGGACTAAAATGAATAAAAAAAAGTTAGGGCACCATTTTGACACTTTTTCCATAAATAAAGTCTCGCAAAAAGCTCTCGAGTTCCAAGAGTTCTCATGGCCTTATTCATCTTTGAGATTCATTTACGATCACTTTTGCTTGCATTACTCTCCATTTAGTATATTCCTATCGGTTCACTTGTAACTAAGTTGTTGCATTTAGCTTACTCTAGTCTTTGTATACTTTCGCAAGGCTTTGCCCAGATAAGAACATTGTGGTTTACTCTTTTAGATGAAAGAGAGCTACATGGTAAGTTTGATTTCCCGCAGTAGTTGAGCACTGGTGTTTAATGGCATTCTAAAGGAATATATTGTGAAGTAGATGTAGGTTAGTAAGAATTTGAACCACTATAAATAGGTGTCCTTAGGATTATTTGTACATTGGTTTGACAATTTAATGCCTTGACTTCTCATTCGAAGACTAAGGTCAACACTTGTATATGTCCCTCAATTATGTGGCTTCATACCCACATTTGTAGATTATCAATTAACATTTATTTCATGGCTTCAAATCTTAATAAAGGTGTGCCTATATAAAGGCAAAAAACATTATAATATTCATTGATTTCTCGTCATCTCTAACCTAAGAAGTGCAAGGAAAACCTTCGAAGTTCAACAATCATGATTGTGCTTTAAATCTATAATTTACTACTTGATTTATATGTTCATTTAAGAGTGGCATTGATCGGTATATACACTGAGAGAGTCTCCCTCTATCCCCACCCCCTCCCTCTCCCTCTATCCCTCCCTCTCCCAATCTCCCTCTCCCCCTCTCCCTGTGTGTGTGTGTGTGTCTGTGTGTGTGGTTTGATGTGTTCTATAATTATAATGGACGTATTAGACATGCATAGTGCGTCTGTGTGTGTGTGTGTGATTTAATGTGCTCTATAATTATATGTAATGGAAATAAACAATCTTCCAATATTTTTAGATTCTCTTTCTAACCCCCTCCTCAATCCCCCATTTTCCAGAGCTTCCCACGAACTCAATATCATATTCTTAATCCCTGCCATCAAAATTCCCTTATTTTACTTCAATTATTCAAGCCTATTTCAGCAACTAATTTCATCTTCTATCTCTGCATGTAATTTGCAGCAGAAAACATCAATTTCATCTCACCACAATCATTCATACACACAAAATTATTCAACCACACTAAAATATTACAATGCAAAAACATATTTAGCACCAATCCAGACTGAACAAAGAAGAAAATAATTAAACATATGCTAAATTACTCCTGAGTCCTGACTTCAGCCTCTCCACCACCACCATGGAACTCACATTCAGCAAGTGAGGGGACGATAGAAGAAACTGTAACATCAAATATAAAGAAGAAGAAGAAGAAGAAGAAGAAGAAGCAGCAGCAAATAAAAAAAAAAACCAACTTTTCATCAAGAAATCTATGAAAGCTCGAATCTTGATGTGCGTCGGGTGTTATTCAGAGCGAAAGAAGAGAACTTTAAAATATATGCTCAAAGTTCAGACCTGATCAAGAGCTTTCTTTTCCTAACCCGTCAAAATCCAGCAGCGGAATCCATTGAAGAGAGAAAGGAGAAGAGGAAGAGAAAAACAGAGCGGAAGGAATGGAGGAGGAAAGAGTACCTAATTTCTAAAATGTCTTTATTCGCTGCAAATATTTTATTCTGCAAAGAGGAGGAACAGTTTTCGGTGACAAAAAAATAGGGGCATTTGTATTATTACATGCAGACCAGCCAATTCTTATATATTTACAGTTATACCTCCAAAATATTTCATATCACAAATATATATATTTTACGCATATATGTAAAATGTGTAAAGATTGAAATTTAATTGCTACATATGTAAATACCTAAGAATCAAGTGGTATAAATGTAAATCTTCCAAAAAAAATATTTATTTTGGTAAAACATTTCTTCAAATTGTTACTCCCTTTATATATTACATATATGGGTCCATAAGTGATATTTAACTTAAACAATATTTTTATATTTTTTAAGAGGTTTACATATAATTTTTATTTAATTTTTACTTTTTAAATTATTAAATTTAAATGTAAAATATATTAATTTTACTAAAATAATTATATTTATTCATTACTAAAGTTATTTTCATTTTAATTTATATTTAAAAATTTTTATTGCATGTCATTATTTTTTATATAAGCATTTAATTAAATTTAGGTTAATTCACAAAATATTCAATCAGACGGTCCACATTAATTCTCATGATTCTACGTAAGTTTTTTAAAAGTTAAGTTTCATAACGATCATGTAATTATTTGATATTGAGCTCGTTATGTTCATCATGTCAAACAGCACAATTTGATCATATTTATAGCAAATTTATATACATTTTCTACATAAATCATCTTGCTTCTCCCATGAAACCAAATCTAATAACTTTATTGCCTTTTTAGTCAGAGTCTATGTAAATCAATCAAAATTAAAGTTAGTGCAGCAACCATCATGTTTTGTGATAAGTTTGCATAAAGAAGGGGTATTTACATGCTTTCCAACAAATTCTTTCATTTTTTACATATCCAACCCCTAATTTTTTGTTTTTCACATTTGTACCCACTAAATCCTTGGGATGAAATAAAATAAAACTTCATTATTTTAAATTTTAAAAAGTGAAATAAAAATGATATGCATACAAAAATTGAAGTTTAGAGTGCAATGTATGTAAAAAAAATATTTAACCTTTAAATTAAATCGATTAAGTTTGATCAATATTATAATTTTTTTTTTAAAGATCCTACAAAAAAATCAACTACTTAAAAATTTATTATAAATATGTAGTTTTCAAGTAGACAGACATCTTAAATCTTGAACAAATATTATGTGTGACGACCGTATGTCCGGATGATGATTTAGATTGGTCGCCCTAGGATACAAGGCAGCGTGGACGCATACGGATTGTCTTTCGGATATGAGGTTCGTCACACATAATATTTTATCTTAAATCTAACGAATTTTGGTATATTTTCTAAATAAATATTTTTTTAAAAAATATTAGATATTTATAAAAAGTTTAAATTTCAGCTTTATACCATAGAAGGGGTATTTACATACGTACAACCCAACTTTTATGTATTTACACATAAAACACATAAATTTTATTTTTCATATTATACAAACACACATATTTTCGCATCATAACATGTATCTCAATAAACTTTTAAGGTGATATTTATGTCCAAATTGAGATTTACCGGTTTGGTTTGTAAATACATAGGGATTGAGTGATATGTTCGTTAATATTCCGATATAGAATTAGAATAACTATCGTCGGTTGGCCGATTGGTCTGTTGGTCGGTTGGTCGGTCAAATCAACTCGCAATAAAATATGGAATTCAATGAAACTTAAACTTATTCCATTTATGTTTTCTATTGTTGGTTTTTCAGATTAATTGTAAAAATGGACATCATTTATGATAATTTTGTTCTTATATTGGTTTAAAATATATATATTGAAATAATATTTTTTATTTAAAAATTTTTATTCTTTTATTTTTTTATCGTCATATATTCAACATGAGAAAAGTACTTTGATAATAAGGGTTTGTTTGGGATAATTTTCTCTCTGTTTTGATTTTTGACTGTTTTTAGAAATCTTTTTTTGGTAAAAAGTTATTTTATTTCAACTTAACATGTTAAAATAAGGTGGCTTAAAAATATATATTATTTAATTTTTTTTAAATATATGTTGAATTTGTTGAGAAAATTATGGCGAAGAAAAACAGAAATCGACACAAAGCCAGAAAAACACACAGATATTTAATAAGGTTCGGCAAAGATGTCTACGTCATCGGGAGTATAGCGGCGGTTTTCTTTCAACTCTAGAAAAAATGTTACAGAATATGAGATATCGACTATAGTTACAAACAAATCTATTTATAACCTTAGAATAAACCCTAAGTATAATATATAATTACAAAATTATCCCTACCGCGGGGCGTTGCTCCCGCACCCCCAACATACACAACAAAACACCTCCTATTGGACAAATTCTTCCACTCTACTTCTTTCCAGCATCTGTCACTCATATGATATATGAGTCGTACCTAACAATATATTTACGACTAACTTCTTAAAAAATTACAACAACCCAAAAAGAGCCTAAATTATAAAAGTAATAGCATGTCAATTTTATATATTTTCGTGAATTTGTAAAATTAATACTGCAATTGATGTAGGCATCGACTGCAACGAGGAGCGAAGCTAAAAAGCGGAGAAGACGACGGAGTGCAACGCGGCTTCGATTTCTAGCTTCAACAGCAACGAAATGGGAAGGAGAATGAGGTAGTGAAGAAGAGGGGAGGATTTTGGCTTTGACGGCGACGAAATTGGAAGAAAAGTGGGGACTGGAGTGCGACACCAATATATTAAAGATTTAGGGTCGCTTTGGCGCACGTTTTCAAAACGCCGTCATACCGTTTGATTCACGCGTTTTGCTAGCTTATTTGAAATTATGTTTGAGTTTTTACACTAAATGTGGGCCGCGTGTCGACCCTCGCGGCCGGCCCGCTGTCTGCGTTTCAAGATAAGCAGATTATCCTGAAACACACAAGCTGCCCGAAAGGACCCTTAGAGTCTGTTTGGGATTGGGACAGCTGCAGTTTATCCAGCTTCTGCTGATAAACAGCTTATCCTTATAATTGCTGATGGGCAGCTGATCCGGATAATCTGTCTGGCTGTTTGGTTAGTGCATTTTGAGAACAACTGATTCTGGAGAAATCACCAATCTGTCTCTGTTCTGGATAAGCTGTTGAGCTGTTTGGTTCGTGCGTTCTGTAAACAGTTTATTTGTATTTTTTTTATTTGAATTTATAATATGTGTAACTGAATAAGTTATTTTATCAAGAAAGTTAAAGATCAAATGTTAAGACAAAACAATACAAATAAATAGAGCTACATTTATATAACTCAAAATAATGATTACTTGCATGTCTCACCAAGCTTTATATATGTTTCACATTTTGGAGTTCAAAATATAACATTATTAATTTGCAGAGCGGGATGATAAGGAAGAAGGAAAGGAAGTCCTGCAACAGTGGGAAGATGATTGGGATGATGATGATGTCAATGATGATTTCTCCCTTCAATTGAGAAAAGAATTGAGAAGCAACTCAGAGAAGAAGTAAAGTGCCTCTTGCTCTCCTTCCTCCTTATTGTGCTCTATAAGCTTTAGCAAAATGTTCTTTTGAGGTTTGTGTGCTTTTTCGAAATGTGTTTTTAATTTTGTGAACAGCTTTCTGTGTTGCATTGCAACAGCTTTCTGCTTGGGTTTGGGAACTTTGTTTCAATGAACTAAACTAGGCATACTTATTGACTAAATGACTTATTAATTTACTTGTTGATTATGCTGTGGTTTATAGAAGATTTTGTAGAGTGTGTTATGATGATTTATGCTTTTTCTTCTTCTTAAGTTTACTTGAATATTAAGGATTAAAGATCAAGAAAAAAAGAATGGCAAGGAAAATAACTAAGCCTTAAATAAAATAAATCAAACTCCTAACATGATTTTATCAATACATCCATGATTGCTTTATAATTCGAATCTAATCTAAATTAGCAAATTTAGTGTTTTATATTATTTTCTTGCTGAAGCAGAATTTATTTTTTTCCTCCAAATGTAATGCATGATGGAATCCTTTTAATCATTGACAAGTATTGTACCTTAAACAAATTGTTGTGTTGCAATTGGCTGGACAATATTTAGAATCATCACCATTACTTATATCATATACGATATAAATATATGAATTTGCTATGGAAGTGCTGAGTTACTATGTTGATTCACAGGTTGTGCTTATTCCTGTCACTGCTGATCTCATCCTCAACACATGCAAAATCTGTGGTGAGTATTATTCGGCCTATAATGCCTTTTCTTGCCATGTTTTGCATGACGTTGTGTATTGGAAGTCCTCTTGCTATTAATAGGAGCCAAATTCTATCTTCAGAAGGTCACATATTGCTTCTACCCACAGTGACATTCCATGTTGCAGCCTTTGCATTGGGTTATTGGGCTTCAAAGTTACTATTTTTTATGTACATGTCAAGTTTCAAAGTATTTGTGCTCATCAATGATTTCTTAAACTTTATGATATGTGGAACAAAATGCATTTTTACCATTTTCTGTACTTCATCAACTCCTTGTATACACTCTTTTCAGAATAGCTCAATCATATCTGAAGATCTCAGTTTGAAAGTAGTGATTCTTCTTTATGTAAAAACGTACTCTAAGTGATGTAAAACACGATTTAAAAGCATTGAATGGTATGCATGTAAACCTCCCATAAGTTTAGTGTCCCATATGTAAACACATAAGAATAGTTGGTGTGCAAGTTCAAATCAGCAAACTATAACGCTCCAAACCGAAATCATATTGACCAACTAATATTAAGAAATATCAAAAACATTTCTAATCAAAAGCAAGTCCCAATGCTGCAAAACAAGCTAAGTTTAGATCCCAAATGATTCATACCGCATAAAAGAATAACATAACTCTAACTTCTGCAAAGTTAAGTACATCCTTTCAAACATATATGCCATTTAAAACATGTGAGCTAACACATATAACTAAAACACGAGATGGCTGAAGACAGACACCCAAAGTAATCACACATGATTTGAAGAAGAGATAGAGGTTTATACATGGATGCCGAAGGAAGCAGGAAGCGGCAATGTCGCGATCGGGCGAACAAAGGCAATGTCGCGATCGGGATGGCGAACAGAGGTGAGACTCGCGATCGAGATGGCGAACATCGGTGAGAGTCGCGATTGCGATGTGGAACACAGGTGAGAGTCGTGATCGGGATGGCGAACAGAAGCAGAGATCGCGATCGGGATGGCGAACAGAACTTCGGGATGACGATCTCGGGCAGAGCGGGGGAGGAGAAGATGAGAAAACGTATAAGGGAGTGAAGATGAGAGGAGATGATCGAGTTTTTTTTACCACTCTCAGGCGATTGGGAAGTGCTGAGGGAGGAGCAGAATCGTTGCGCTTAGGGAACACAGAGGGTCGCGAGAAGGGTAGGCGGGTAAAGATTCGCGTGGAGGACGTTCAAAATTTTGATTGTGGGGTTATACTCGTGATCGCGTATCTGCTAATTTAGATACGCAGTTTTATGATAAACGCCCTAAACGTACAAAACAAACAGTGCGGCGACGTTTTCAAAAACGCCGCCGCACTTATAAGCTGCCCCAAACAAGCCTTTAGTGCGTTCAATATATATCATACGACATCAACAAATTTTTACCCTCATATATAATATTTAAATTTCAATTAAAAAATTATTTATAACTCGAATTTCAACAAAATTACAGTCAATTTAACCTGGTTGACGAGACAAACACGGTGGCTCTAAAGCTTGTTCAATCTAAGTCAGATCCAACCATCAAACAATTTTTTGAAACTTCTAGTACCCAATTGGAAGTTCAATTTGATTACAAATATGATAAACTTACAGTTAAAGCAAGCAACTTGATGTGACAAAGCGAGACCAATATCGCTCAATTTCAATATTGCTAAGATATCAAGTGTCCATAAATATTCATATGATCATTTGAGGTTTAGTTTTCTAGTTCATCAAACGCCACCGTTCACACAAGTGTCGGACACCATCAACCACCACCCGCCTGCCACCGTCGATCACCGTCGGCTGCCCTCTGCTCGATGCACAAGAGCCTCTTATGGAGTCACAGTGTACATTATGGAGTAACAAAACATCATGTAGACTTAACGGTAAACTTTATGGAGTAACGAAGCATCGTATAGAGCAACATGCCCCTGAAGATGTAACGACACACCCTAAAGAAGATGTAATGATGCACCAAAAATACAGTGCAAAGACACGTCTAGCTTACGGTGTAACAACGTCTCCTAAATAATGTGTAACAGTACACCGAACAATAATTTCTTGCAACTGCCTTCTCAAGGTATTATGACTTCCTTCGAACAGTTTAAGCTCTCTCAATGCAGTTCACCGCCTGGGTCGATGTGACCAAATATGTCTTGCATAGTCAACAACTCATGCAACTCTGAACCTCAGCATCAACAAACTAAAGACGTTATTGTAACTCAAAAAAACGGTCCATGTGACCAACTACGACTTGTACAACTCACAACCCACATGCCTCTCATTTTCGACCTTTGAGGCCTAAATGCAACATCATAACTCTTCACTATAGCCCACGCGACCAATTACAACATATTTGGTCCACAACCTATATAAATCTCAACTATTATCTCTGTGGCTTGCAGACATTATTACTGCCCACCAATATGCCCCGTGTGGCCAACCATAACCTACGTGGCTCATAGCTTTTGCAACTTTCTATCACGGCTTTTGTGGCCAACTAACAAACATGAAGCAGTTATCTAAGGCCCACATGACCAACCACTCCCATGACTTTCAACTACGAGATCTACAGTAATATGGCGCTGCAACCACCATATGTAATATTCACGATAGATTACCACCTCCATAATAATAGACTACGACTTTCAGGGCTAAGGCCGTAAAAAAGACTCGTTGTTTCGCGAATAGCTCGTGTCGGACTCGTTAAGAAGATTGTGTTCAATTCTTTCACTAAGTTAACGAGTCGAACACAAACACTTTTTTGTGCTCTATATATAAACGAGCGAAAAACAAACAAAGATTTGTTCTTTCGTGTTCGACTCGTTTTGGCGCAAAATACTGCTTGATGAGTAGTATTTTTTAAAATTTTAAGTAATTAAAAGGCTAAAAAGATTTATAATCAATTAAAATTATTAAATAAAAAATTGAATAGAATATAAATGATGTTTTAATATAAATGATAAAATTTAAATCTTGCCCCAACCCTTAACATCATACGACTGCGTGATTAAGGTTGCCAAAATGACTCTTGGTCTGCGAACAACTCATGTTCTACTCACCAAACAAACAAGTCGAACACGAACACACTTTTTGTGTTCAAAATATAAACGAGTCGAACATAACCAATAATATTTTTTAACGAGCCGAACATGAGCTAAGTCTGAGCTCGCTCGTGCATGAGCTAAGTCTGAGCTCGCTCGTGTTCGAAGAGCCGAACATGAGCTAAGTCTGAGCTCGCTCGTGTTCGGCTCGTTTATGTAGGGCTCGTCACAACTATTATTGCTTAAATATCACATCACATCAACTTTATAATTCAATCTTCCCTCGCTCAATGAAAAAAGTGGCCGTGTATTTCACAATTACAAAGTGAATTATTTCAACTCTGCAAGACCTCATGTTTTTTTATTCTTTTAAGAACATTCTATGTAAAAAGGTTGGGGAGTATTCTCCAACTACTTTTTTTATCACCAAAGTATTCATTGTTCTTTAAAATATTCCGTTAAAGGGCATTAAGGTAAAAGCATTTTAAAAAACTAGTGTGACCCCAGGTCTAATCAGACTCGTTTATATTCCTAGCCACATTCACAGAAAAAAAATGTTGCACCAGGAATCTTGTTGTAGTCTTGGATCAGGACTAGAGTCAGGACCTATCATGCATGCAAACAAACACACATTAATAAAAAAAAATAATTTAATATATGAATAAACTTGTCTCTACACGTGACACAGACAAGCCCTGCTCCAACTAAATTTTTTTTTATGGGGACCGGGGAGCCGGACCGTAAATCACATGATTTACGGTCCTGATGTATTTCGGTGGGCCCCACCTAAAATTTTTTATTTTTTTTTAAAAAAACGGAAATAATCCTGACCGTAGATCACCGTGATCTACGGCCAGGATCGAACACCACATACAGAGATGCATGCAGTGCCCGCACGCAATAATCTCTCCCACGTGACACAGACAAGCCCTGCTCCAACTAAATTTTTTTTTATTTTTTTACACTCATTCAATATTTTTTTCCAGTATGAGGAGGGAGCGGGGCGGAGAGAGAGAGCGAGCGAGGAGTTGCGGCGGGAGAGAGAGAAATCGGCTGTTGGGAGGAGCCGAGGGGCCAACGACGTTTGTCGAGGGCACGAACATGGCTTTGAAGATCCAGAGATCAAATCCCTCCGGGAGAAATCATCCAATACCCAACCATTTACTTATTTTCACACTGGTCATGGTTTCCTTGCATTCACTGACATCAGCGATTCCGTCTTCTTCTTCGTCTTCCACCATGCACAACAATAATTGGGCCGTTTTGGTCTGCACCTCTCGATTCTGGTAATTATCTATCAATTTGGTCGTGTTTTTCACCTTTTATTCTGCAATTTTCGAATTATAAGGCGAAGTCACTTTTGATTATGATCGGTTGATCTTGTTTTTGTTGGAATTAAATAAATGGTTGCTGTGCTCTCTTTTGCTAGTGTTATTTTGGTTTTCCTTGAAAGCTTATTGTGCATAGGTAATCTGAAGTAATCTCAGTATCATTTGAAACGAGGAAACCAGTTCCCTCTTGGAGCTTGGTGATGCTCGCAGTTTGAAGTGGTGGCTTACATATAGTTTACGATGATGTTATTTAAAAGACAATTTATGGTGGAATCTCTTTGTATACGTCTCTCTCATCGACTTCTATGTTAGCCTGTTGGAGAACTGTTATCGCCTCTTAGAAAAGCCGTAGGACATTTGCATAGTTCTGCTACTTTCTATGGCCACCAGAAGTGCAATATGGAACTTTGCTTACCTCAATACCGTGGAAATTAGTAGTATGGTGACATTGATTGAGATTTTATCTGGATCAATAATCAATATCATTTGAAATATTAAATCATATATGCATAATAAAGGTCTGACATGGAAGAGGTGGGTTTTTTTATGTGAAACCTCGTAAGTAGGATGAAACCGAACTCTTAAATACTGAGATGCCTTTTAGTTTAATGGTTGGAAATTTCTCATAAACTCCAAAGTTAAACGTGCTCATATGGTAGCCCTCCTGGGATGGGTGACCTCCTTGAAATTACGTCAATGGGACAAAACAACGAGGCTATTAGGCCATGACGTCCAGGATATAGATGTGCGAGAGGTTGGGCTATTATAGTTAAGGCATCTGAAAGGGCTGAGGAAGACTTTTATTAATGCTTGCATAGTCAGGCTTTCTTGTTAGATGTTGCAATTTTATAAATAAAATAGAGAGATTATGGGTACCTAACTCAAAAAGGTTAGTGAAAGAGTTAAAAAGAATATTATAGTACATGAATACCTCATGTTGCAATTTAAATTTGGTTTAGATATGTAGACAGAATAAAGAACCATTTTAAAAAAGAAGAGATGCTGACATGTTAAAATTTTAGAAAGCTTCAACATAATTACAAACTTTAATTGTCCAATTAATAATGTTTTATTTAAATTATTTAAGTTTTAAGTGGGAACTCAAAAATAGAAGTAAAAAAAGAAAAAAGGAGGGTATGGTTGATTTATTTCATTAAAAGGGTGAAAGGAGATTTTCTTCTCATTTATTGAGAACCATAATGCAATTTGAAGACTAGCGGGGGATGAAATCCCCTTACAATACAATGACTGAGTCCATGATCCTTGGAGAAATGTTAATCTTATATGCTATTGTTTTTCTCTTATTGATAACACTGATTGTTATTACAATTGTTTACCAGGTTTAATTACCGACATATGGCCAATACTCTATCTTTATACAGGTATACTTTGTTCTTTATCTGCATCTATATTTTTTTTCTTCAAAATATTGTTGTGTCTTTGTCTCATTGAGGACTTTTCCATTTTAGGACAGTAAAGAGACTTGGAATACCTGATGAACGAATAATTCTCATGCTGGCAGATGACATGGCTTGCAATTCTAGGAACACTTACCCTGCCCAGGTTTTTAACAATGAGAACCATCAGATAAACTTGTATGGTGATAATGTGGAGGTGGGTTTTAATGATATACTCTTTTTGTATAAGAGAGTGTTTTATTGGATTATGTAAGCAAGCATTACATTATGAGTTTTTGTTTTTATCTTTACATTAGATGGTATCACATTTAAGTTGGCTTTTTTTGGTTATTGCCATGCTGATGGGATTTAGAAACCATTTGTTCCTTGCCCACTTTATATAGGGTTTTCCTTATAAATTTTTACTCCTTTTTCATTCCTCTTAATAGATATAGGGATGTCAAAAATTGATCGAACACCTCAAGCCCGCTGGAAAAGTTTGAGTTCAGGTCGACCTGAATAATTTTTGGGTTGGATTTGTGTTAAAATTCCCATGTTAAAATTCCCAAGCTGTTTAAAATTTTGGGCTTTGTTTGTGTTGACCCGCCAACCCAAAATTGATTTGTAATTAACCCTTCAACACAAAATTGACTCCCAAAATTGATTAAAGTAATTGTCATGACTTACGCTAAAGTGGTTAAACAGGATGGGTTTGAGCCTACGGATTGAAGAGGGGTCGTGTTTGTGTTGGCCTGTATGGCTGTTGGTATTTTGGTCGAGTTTAGGTCAAATAATTTTGGATTGGGCCAGTTTTGGATCGAACTTAACCCAACCCGCAATGACACTTGTAAATGGACATATATGTTATTTACTTCCCGTGATTTTAATTAATTTCAGGATTTGCTACCATATTTATATGGGTGGTATACACTTTTCTTTTTTTCTTTGTTTATGTGTAATTTAACGTTTATTGTAAATTAACAGTAATTTGTGTTTTACTTTCAGGTTGACTATCGAGGTTATGAAGTGACGGTTGAAAACTTTTTGCGAGTATTAACCGGGCGGCATGAGAGTGCTGTTCCAAGATCTAAACGCCTTTTAAGTGATGAAGGAAGCCACATACTTTTATACATGACAGGTCATGGTGGAGATGAATTTTTAAAATTCCAAGATTCAGAAGAACTTCAGAGTCACGATTTAGCTGATGCAGTCAAGCAGATGAAAGAGAAACACAGGTAGGTTAATTTTTGCATTGGTTTGTACCTGTCTCATATGGTTTGTTTCAAATTTTAGTAATCTCAGCCTACTCTGGATAAAATACCATGCTGTTATCCTTAAAAGTTCTTTCATTGGTTTAGGTTCAAGGAATTGCTCATAATGGTCGACACATGCCAAGCAGCAACTCTTTTCTCTCAGGTTTATTGTATCCTTAAGCTAGCCGGTGTGGGGTTGCCAACTTTTCTATTTGTTTGTTTGCAAGGTCTTCTAAATTATTTACAGAAATGTCTCCAAATTTTATTAAACCATCCAATGACCTCCCAATTACGAAAATTAAGTGCATCTAAGTCTGTGTTTGATTGGTGAAACTTGCTAGATAGAGTAGTTGCCTTACAAAAATGATTATGGCATGTGAATATTTGCCTATGAAGCACTAGTAAAAGGCTTATTTGTGGTGTGAATACTTGTGATTGTTTAGTTTATATTATTTTTTGTGGTTTCAAGATTTACCAGATACAGATTAAAGTGATCTACAATAGCTGTTGAACAAATTTGATAATTTTCTATGATATGCTTAAGTTCTTCAATTTGTAATAAATAATTTATGTTATATGATTCTAACTAAGCTTGTAAGCTTAGGTCTATTGTATGAAGGACTTGTACGACTTCTGCCAGTCCAATGATTATTGGTGCCACTCGTGTAAAGCACATTGGAAAGTGTGTTGCTACAGGGTCAATGATAGCTCTAGGTAAATATTGATGCTGAATCTCTAATTGAGGAAATTACACATATCATAGAAAATTTTCGAACTTGTTTAACACCTATTATAGATCACTAAATCTATATATGGTAAATCTGGAACAAAAATTTTAATTATTAACTCGAGTGAAATAGAGCATACGTGTTCTTTTTAGAAAAATTCATTTATAGAGGAAATGGATTTTTAATTCATTTATAGAGGATTTAGAGGAAATGGATTTTTAATTCATTTAAGAACTCAAAATATTAACTCGAGTGAAATAGAGCATACGTGTTCTTTAGTTTTTCACGTTATTGTGATAAACCTCCTCTGTAGTTTAGTTGAACATTATATTATCCACCTGATGTTTAGCAAAAAATTAATCATCTCTCCTACTTTCTTTTTTTTGTTTGACTTTCACCAGTTTAATATTAAAACGATTATTTTGCCTTTCAAAATTATAGTTGGAAGGTGAATTTGATATTCTACAAAAGAAACGCTACATTAAATTTAAAAAGCAGAGAAACCTTTTCTTATAATGGCAGTAGAGAATGTATCAAGAATATCATTGTCAAATTGCTTGACATATAAAATTATAATGTGTGTGTGAAACAACGTTAGATCGTTTTTAAGGGCAAATGAGCAATTTTAATACTACACTAATTAAAGTTGGATGAAAAGGGTAAAATAAAGGAGCATTCGTATTTTGTCAGACCTAAGAGCACTGTATAACATTTAGCTAAATCTTATGAAGATAAATGATAATTATCTTATTAATACGATCAGTCAAATATTTTCCACAATAATTAGATCAAACACAATACTTTATTTCACCAACACCAAATCAAAACAATACAATGTCACACAGCTCAAATGAATAAATAAAAGATCAAAACTTACAATTTGTGAGGCTGGCGATCTCTCCCAAATCTTACAATTCAAGAGGTAGGAAGTTTCACCCACGCCCAAACTCTGACCCAAGATCACAATCTCATGCATAGCTCTCACTCTAAACATATTAACCAAATTTATACTAAACAATAATAAATAACAAAAGATTGAATCGTCCTTAGATGCATAAAAGACTAACTTGCCCTTAGACGTCGTCGTAACAATATTCCCTTCCCAATAAGACATTTTGTCCTCAAGATGGGAAAAAGGAACTGCTCGATCAAGTTGTGTGGATCCTCTATAGCATCATTACATGACAATCCTTTCCAATTTTATAAAAAATTCATAGTGAACCTCATAAGTTTGACGTGACGTATTGTGTATATTCTTTGCCGCATCTGAATCTATTGTTTCATGAACCGACCCAGAGCTAGAATTAACCAAGATGAGAACAGAGGGCATGATGGTGGGAAATATGTTTTATATGTTCATTTATTAATTAACAAATAAAAAAATCACTAATCAAATTAAATTACAACAGTGTATTTAAGTTCACCTCATTACTTGTTGTCTGTATCTTCTATAAATATTTCCTCTTTTATAACTCATTTTTTAAATCATGTAATTAAACCAGAATTACAACAGTATATTTAAGTTCACCTCATTACTAGTTGTCGGCATCTTCTATAAATATTTCCTCTTCTATAGCTCATCTTTTAAATCACTTAATTAAACCAAAAATATTTATTTAAAATAAAAATAAGTTAGACAATGCAGTGAATACTTAAACCACAATAATTCAAGTGAAAATGAAACAATATGGGTCATGGATAAGGGGAAGAACCACAAATAACAATCTCAATCAAATGTTCTATTTCATATTTGATTTTGCTCACCTCTTCTTTCAATTTTTCATCCGAAGCATTTACTTTTTGTTCGTCACGACTCGTTGTATGTTATTAGAACTCCTTTATGCTGAAATTGCGAGGTTCAAAATTTTTGTATGTGAGTGTGAGACTCTGGACTCTGAGATCCTGTTGCTGGCCTCTCACAATTGGAATTCTTGTATGTCGCAGATCTTGATGGCATGTTTTGGCCAGGAGTGGCAAAAACTTCTTTTACTACGATCCATCAACTTCCCTGCAACTATTTCTCGACCATATCGCACGTTTGTACCCCGCGATTCCTTCGTTGGCTTCTCAGCTAGGAATAATCACAACTGTATTGTGATCCCATTTCTGTATGTTGTGATCCTTTGTTTGTTTCCATAGATCGTGAGCTCTGATATCACTTGATACGATTCAAGAAAATTTGTCCACAAAAATTATGTCAAGCACAACACTTTATTTCACCAACACCAATTCAAAATAATACAACATCACGCAACTCACTGTTAACCTCATTTTTAGTGAGGTCTAGTCTTTCTCTTAGGGTTTAGGATATAGCCTTAGGGATCTCCCTTTGACTATCTTAGAACCTTAGAAATGGGACCTACCTCATTTTAGAAATTCAACTTATTTCTGTACTCTTTTGGAGTTTCGCGTGTGTGGTATCGACTTCTAGCACTTAGAAGGGTGAAACCAACATGAGGAAAACCAAAAAGAATTCCTATAGGATCTTTTGAGCCTTAGGGTGTTTTGCACAATTTGCATTTTGCACAATTTGCACTCCCGCGCGCACAAACTTAGGCACAAACTTAGCAATTCGAAGAGTCGACACGGCCGATCACTACGATTCACATCGCTTGCGCCATTATCTGTCGAGGACTTGAATAGATTGTTGGAGACGATCGATAGCAAATTGAAATTTTATGAAATTTGAATGTTGACGTATTTTTGACCCGATTGTCGACAATGTTATCCGAGCGACCCCGGATGACAAAATGGACTGCACCGGCTTGTCCAGATGTCGATTTTGCCTAGGGAGGACACCCATTTTGTTACGGCACCGCGTGTGAATAAATTGCATATAATTTAATATATATATGTATATATTAATTTATATAAAACTATTTTCCCCCTTTCTATATATGTTAATATATAAAAAAAAAGAGTCATCCATTTCCTTTTAAAGCCCAACCCTAAATCCCTAAACTCACGCACCCGGGGTCGACTCCTATGCTTTTTCCCCTCTCTCGTTCGCATGCCTAGCTTTTCCCTTTCTCGGTCTCAAGCCGACCGAGCCCTTTTCCTCTACGCAAGGGAGAGTTGACCTCCCGTTCGTCCTTGCCTGACATTTCCTGCCCGCGACCCTCCTTCTCAAAGCCGCGCCAGCCTCTCTGAGCTGCGATTTTCCTTTTCTTGGTAGTTTGACTCTGAGGAAGCTGTCTCCCTGGTATACTGGAATAGCAAATTTCTCTTCTTCCCGATGCTTCTCTCGCTGCCACCCGGCTCGCCACTTGGTCCTGAATATTTTGGTTGTTTCGCCTTCTGTGAGCAGAGAATGTGTCCTTTTCTTCTTTGGTCTGATTCGAGTATCCAGAGTGGGGTAGAGTGGGGTGTGGGTCTTCACATTCTCTTCCCCTCTCTTCTCTGCCTATAAACATAGTTTCTTTTGGGTTTTGTGGTTGTTGAAAAGTTTTCTAAGGAGAGGAGAGGTAGAGATTTTGGCTGTGAATGGAGTTTAGGAGGGAGATTTTCTGTGAGAGCATCTCTTTGAAGTTATTTCTTGTGTTGCAGTGCTTTACATTTGCAAAAAGAAGGTAACTCTTCTTCTCCTCCCCTTCCTCAGTGCCTTGCTTACTTGCGGTTTTTCTCTCTGTCAAGCCTCCTCTTGCTCGGTTAAGTGAATAATGCAACATACTAGTTTAATCTACTTTCATATATTTTGAGATGTTTACCTTAAAAGCATGTTTCAGGGGTTCAATTTGATTACTTGCTTAGAATGGTGGAAATATAGCATGACATAAGTGTTCTTATTTTCTCTACCTGCTTGAGACGAAGCAGTGGCATAGTTCTATTATTGTGAACAGGAAGCTTGAGAAATGGTCTTGAAATAATTTTATCTTCTCTTGCAAGCATGTTAGGATATGTATAGATTATTGCTTGCTCTATTTTCATTTAGTACGGGATATTAGAAAGGTTATTTGGCCTTTCATGCACTTATATGGGAATG